GGGCCGCAACATCCAGGCAACGCACCGCCGTGGTAGCACCGGTGCGATGGCCGGTAACCGGCGAGTGCATCGAACCAGAAACGTCCGGACACACGTACACCTTTCCGGTCACCCGCGGAGCATTCTTGATCGCCAATTCCATCGCATCCTGCAGCGCATCCCGCACTGCATGCGGAATTGCCACGTCGGCGTTGGCGTAAGCGACCATTAGCTGGTACGGGAAGACGCGGGCCTGCTGCACAAGCCGCGGGTTACGCAGCCGGTTCGCAACAACACCCGTCATCTCTCCGTTCTCAAACACACCGTGGCGCTGGAACGTGTTCAGGTTCATCCGCGTCATCTGCCACGAAGCGTTACGAGCGATCTGAGACCAGTCGTGCTTCGAAAGCGGTAACGAGGTGAGCATCTGAAACGGCACGTCCGGCAACGCAACCTTGCCCGGGTTGGTGTTTCGTTTGAACTTTTCGTACTGGCGCACCAACTCCGGCAATGCATCCCGGCTGTACTCTCGACCGATCAAGTAACCGTAGAGAGCTTCACGTGAGGCGGTTGCCGGCTTCGGGTGAACCATTCGCAGCACGTCGGCGAGCGACGGGTCGTTACCCACCGAACCAATGAACAACTGTTCGTCAGTTCGCGACTCCAACCACTGCAAGATCAACCGCTTCGGCAAAGTTCCTAGGCTCTTTCGGCCTACGACACCCGAACGCATGATCTGCACAAAGTTGCGGAGCATCTTCGGCGAATCGATGACGCGATCGAAGACTTCGGCCAGCAGGCCGGGAGACTTCACCGACAACAACGCACACAGCAGCGCCGGCATGTCCTTCATATGCCCCGACTGTCGAGCGTAAATCGCCAGTCGAGCCAGATACTCAGGATCAACCTTTTCAGCATGTTCCAGCACCGCGCCGAGTTGGTCATCCGCGGAAGCGTAAAAGGTCGACCCCAGGCAGCCGGTAGCCGCCAGTTGAGCGAGAGCCTGCTTATGGCTCCGCTTGTAGGCCACCCCACCAGCTTCGTTGTGGGTATCGGTCTTCGCCGCAAAGCGACCTCGGAAAGAATTGAATAGTGCCTTGTTCGCCATGGTTAAGTCCTCTGCATCGGGCCAAGTGGTTTTGCATGCCGTTTGTTGAGGAAGGACTAAGCAGCGACCGTGCCAGACTAGAGAGAGCACCTACAACCTGCACCGTAAGGCATTACCGATCAATGACTTAAGAAATCCATAAGCTATCGAACCTCCAATCTCGAAGTTCCACAGAATGTCGAATACACTATCTTTTGATATCACTTTTATCCCACAGTCTCGTGTGCAAGCCAATGAAACACGTCGTATTCGGACTACTCGGTGCCAAGCTAGACTCCGGTCGTGGCGAAGACCGCTGGCATCGTTGGCGGCCCACGGTTGCCTTGTGTCAGCACGAAGACTTACTGATCGACCGGTTCGAGTTGCTATTCGAAACGAAGCTCAAGGCACAGGCTTCGGCCATCGCCGAGGACATACGGTGCGTTTCGCCCGAGACCGAAGTCTGCCTTCATAAGATGAACTTCCGCGACGCCTGGGACCTTGAAGAGGTCTACAGCACCCTGCACGGGTTCTTCGGCGACTACGCCTTCCGGCCGGAAGATGAGAATTATCTCGTCAACATCACAACCGGCAGCCACGTTCAGCAGATCTGCCTGTTCCTGCTAGCCGAGTCACGCCACGTGCCGGGGCAGTTGCTGCAAGCATCTCCGCCGAAGCGAAAAAAACTCGGCGCAGGAACCTTCCGAACCATCGACCTCGACCTGTCGCGGTACGACCAGTTGGCGGCTCGTTTTGCTCTCGAGCAACAGCAGGGCGTCTCGTTTCTCAAATCGGGCATTGAAACGAAGAACGAAGCCTTCAATACACTGATCGAAAGAATCGAACGCGTCGCTATCCACAGTGAATCACCGCTCCTCATTACCGGGCCAACCGGCGCAGGAAAGAGCCAACTCGCCCGCCGCATCTACGAACTCAAGAAGCAGCGGCGACAGTTCGACGGCCCCTTCGTCGAGGTCAATTGTGCGACGCTTCGCGGGGATCAAAGCTCATCGGCTCTATTTGGTCATGCCAAAGGCGCCTTCACCGGGGCAACCAGCGCCCGCGACGGCCTCCTGCGGAGCGCCGACCATGGGATGCTCTTTCTCGATGAGATAGGCGAACTCGGCCTCGACGAACAGGCAATGCTCCTAAGGGCGATTGAAGACAAACGCTTCCTACCCGTGGGAGCTGACACCGAAACGGCGAGTGACTTCCAGTTGATCGCAGGCACCAATCGCGACTTGCAAGCCGACGTCGCCACGGGTCGCTTCCGCGAAGACCTGCTCGCCCGCATTAATATCTGGATGTTTCGCTTACCCGGCCTTGCCGAGCGGCGTGAAGACATCGCCCCCAACCTCGACTACGAACTTCAGCAGCTAACCACGAAAACCGGATCAGTCGTGCGGATGAACAAAGAAGCCCGGGAAAGATTCCTTCGCTTCTCAGAATCGATTGAAGCCAGTTGGAGCGCCAACTTCCGCGACCTCAACGCCGCGATCACAAGAATGGCAACGCTCGCGGCCGGGGGCCGCATCAGCGTAGATCTTGTCGACGAAGAAGTGCAACGACTGCGCGATCAATGGGGCAACGCTGGCTCACTGAAGTCATCCATCGACAACATTCTCTACGGGCTTGTCGATACCTCGAAACTCGATAGGTTCGACCAGGCGGGTCTCGCAGAAGCAGTTCGGGTGTGCCGCAAGGCGAAGACCATCTCCGAAGCTGGCCGCCAGTTGTTCGCTGTGTCGCGAGCCGAGAAAGCCAAGCCCAACGATGCCGACCGCCTCCGAAAGTACCTACAACGCTTCGGGCTCAACTGGCAGGACATCCGCTCCTAGTCGATCTTCTCTTCATCTGGTACTCGGAACATTGCCTAGCTGTCGAATCTGCTTCGCGATCCAAATGCTCAAATGAGTCAACACAGTTGAACTGTGAAGTTGGCCGCTTAGATGTCCTATGCACGATCCGTCTGCATTCATTCTTTCCAGAATAGCCAACAACGCATGACCGGCCCTCATTTAAGCGGACCCCTGCGCCCACAAAAAGGATCTTGGAATTCTTTTGTAAAATGTGTGAACTGTCTTCGAATGCTGTGCGTAGGCACTCTGGAAACAACCAAGATGGGAGCTTCGCATGTCCAGCCTGTCATCAGATCCTGCGTTTGGTGAGCTTCGATCAATTGGTCAGTCTAGGACGTGGGGCAATTCCTTAGTTCGGGAAATCTTGGCGATTGTTGCCATCGTCGCGCTGGCCGATGTAACCATCTACCGCGGACACGGCTACACCGGACTGGCCGTATTCTTTCTCGGAGCGATCGGGCTGTTCTTCGTTGGCAAGCGAAACAGACATATGAGTCTCGCGACATGCGTCGTCGCGGGCATGTTACTAGTGCTGACTGCCCGACTTGTGTGGTACGGATCGCCGCTGCAGGTTTTTCTGGGGCTTTGCTTAGTGGTGGTTTACGCGACGGCCTTAGATGGGCAGAAACCATTCTTGATCAATGCGATGCTAATGGCATCCCAGTCTCTGGTGGCCGGGCTGCAAGCGCTTCGTGCGCATTTCGCTTCTGCCACACAATCGTGCCCTGCGGTCAGTCGCAGTCGAACGTTCAACGTTTTGCTGCCGGTCGTCGTATTCTTGCTCTTCAGCGGACTCTTCGTGCTGGCGAACCCCGATGTGGTCAGCTTCGTCGGACGGCATATCGAACGCATGGTCAACGTCCTGAGCGAGTGGCTCATTCGTTCGGCCTTGAGACCGACCGAGCCTCTCTTCTGGATCGCCATCGCCTGGATTGCGGCTGGTCTGTTGCGGCCGGTGTTCCAACTGGTGGCGAATCGGGATGTCGGCACTTTCCAAGCCAGTCCCCCAACCGAATCCTCGCTCTATGCGGCCTATCGCAACACGCTTTGCACCGTCATTGCCCTCTTCGCCTTCTACTTGGTCTATGAGTTCTTCACGCTGTGGACCCGCGACTTCCCCGAGGGCTTTTACTACGCTGGCTATGCTCACGAAGGCGCCGCGTGGCTCACAGTGGCCTTAGCCCTGGCCACGCTCATTCTTTCCATCGTCTTCTCTGGGCCGATACTGCAAGATCCAAGACTGTCGAAACTCAAGGGGCTGGCCTGGATTTGGTCCGTACAAAACCTCTTGCTGTCGTTGGCCGTTTACAACCGCCTCTTCATCTACATCGACTTCAACGGCCTCACGCGAATGCGAATCATTGGTTTGTTCGGCACCTCGTTGGTCGTGGCGGGCTTTTTACTCGTGGTGTGGAAGATCGTGTTCGCGAAAGATTTCGCCTGGTTGATCCACCGCCAGTGTTGGGCCTTCGCAATCGCCGTCTATCTATTCGCTCTCACACCGGTCGATCGAATTGCCGTCTCGCACAATGTGAAACGCATCCTGGCAGGCGACTTGTCGGCCTCGATGCAAATCGGTGTACACAGGCTCAACTTGGAAGGAGCCATGGCCTTGCCCCCGTTGCTGCAGTGCAAGACACCCGAGATTCGCGAAGGAGTTGCAGCCCTCATCGCCAAACAATATCTGCAACTGCAAAACGGTAATTGGAGCAGACAACAAGCCGGCTGGACCGCCTTCCAGGCTTCCGACAGCGCCGGGTTGAACGAGTTTGAAGCCGTGAAAGATCAGTGGGAGCCGTATCTCGACGATGAGAAACGCGAAGAGGCGATCAACCGCTTCCATAATTTCGCCTACCAGTGGTACTAACCAACATCGCCGCTTCTTTAGGAAGAATTGAAGATTGCCCGGACTGACGTCCATCCCATCCACGCCGGCTCGAAATCACCGATCGCCCCAAGCTGTCGCGAACCTCGACCGAAAACCGTGTGTCTTGGCAGGCATCTCACACCCCACCCAAGGAAAGCGAGGTGCGTCATGAAACGGCACATCAACAGCGACCAATCCTTTTGAGTCGATGAGCAAGCGCCGGCGGGGCTACCCCTCCGAAACGCAGGTGAAAGCCGGCGTCCGCGTCGTTCACGGCGACAAGCTGCTGGAAGAAAAGCTCGGCCGCAACGATCTCTGCCCCTGCGGTAGTCGCAAACGCTTCAAGCGTTGCTGTCTCAAGCAAGGCCGCTTTTGACGGGTCCACCCGCGACCACTACTTTTAGAGACAAATGATCCACCCTCCCTCGCGAGGCCCACACCAAGCCCGGTGTCGGGCCTCGCTTTGTCAATCTCGATTGATCAATCTCCTCGGATGAGTATGCGAAATAGGATCGAGACAAGGACAATGTCATGGGCAGCTCTCAAGGAGACTTCGTCAAATACCCTCGTACGCCCCATCTGTTTGGATCGCAAGGCACCGATGACGACAAACATATGGGCGAAAGGGAATCCGTCGCATTCCTGGCAGATGAATCGCTAATCGTCGAAGAAAAGCTCGACGGCACGAATGTCGGCATCCATTTCGCCGATGGCAAGCTGGTTCTGCAGTGTCGCGGCCACCTCATCACCGAAGGGATGCATCCCCAGTACGATCTATTCAAACAATGGACGGTTGTAAAGCTAGGCGTGCTCGAAGCGATACTTGGTGAACAATACATCCTGTTCGGTGAATGGGTTTACGCGAAACACTCGGTGCACTACAGGCAGCTACCCCACTACTTTTTTGAGTTTGACATCTATGACAAGCAGCAACAGTCCTTCATCAGCCTAGAGCGTCGTGTCAACCTACTCGACGGAAGCGGCGTGCAGACCGTACCGGTGGTGCATCAAGGACCACTCTCGCGTGACAATCTCGAATCGCTTATCGGTCCATCGGAATTCGATAGCCAATTCGACAACCCGCTGACCGGAAAAATCGATAACCTCATGGAGGGTCTTTACCTGCGTACCGAAGCGGATGGCGTAGTGACCAATCGCTCGAAGTTTGTACGACCTGAGTTCGTTGAAAAAATCAAGCAGAGCACTCACTGGCAACATAAAAAGATGGAGCCAAACCTGCTCGCAGACGGTGCGGATATCTGGTCATGAACTGGGCCGATCTAGACAACGCGACTAGCAATCAACTCATTGACTGGGCCGAACGGCAACCCTGGGCCCAAGCGATGAAGCAATGCACCCAGGACACCGGCTGGCATGCAGAGGGGGACGTTTGGACGCACACGAAGATGGTTCTCGCGAAAGTCGAGCAACTTGATGAGTGGAGCGACTTGTCGCTGCGTGAACAGACCATTCTGCGGTTCACTGCGTTGCTACATGATTCAGCCAAGCCGCTAACCACACAAATCGATCCTGCGACTGGCCGCACGACCTCGCCAAAGCACTCTGTCAAAGGCGAGCAACTCGCCCGCAGTGTGCTTCGGGACCTCAGCTGCGAGTTATCGCTTCGTGAAGAGATTGCCAGAATGGTTCGCTATCACGGGCGGCCTGCGTTTCTGCTTGAACTACATGAACCCACACACGAGGTGGCGCGCGTGTCGTGGTATGTTTCCAACAAATTGCTGCACCTGTTCGCAGTGGCCGACACACGTGGACGCACCACTGCAGAGAGAACGCGACCCGAGGAGAATGTTCATCTCTGGAAGATGATGGCAGAGGAGCAAGGCTGCCTCGACCGGCCTTATCCTTTCGGCAATGATCACGCCCGGTTCTTGTTCTTCCGCCAACAAGAACCGAATTTGCATTACATCCCGCACGAAGACTTCTCGTGTACCGTGACGATGATGTCTGGCTTACCAGGCAGTGGTAAAGACTTATGGCTGTCGCGTCACATGCCAGATACCCCGGTCGTGTCGATCGACGACCTTCGGGACGACATGGGGGTCGCACCCACGGAGAACCAAGGAAAGGTCGTACAAGCCGCTCGCGAGCGATGTCGGGATCTGCTGAGGTCGAAGACATCATTTGCATTCAACGCAACGAATGTCGTCCGTCAGACGCGGCAACGGTGGACAGACCTATTCTCCGACTACCACGCCCGTATCCAGTTGGTCTACATCGAGCCGCCACTAGAAAAGATCCTGAGCCAGAACTCCGGTCGCTCTAACCCGGTCCCAGAGGCGGTCATCCTTCGCCTCGCGGAGAAAACTGAAGTGCCAACTTGGGCCGAGTGCCACGATTTGAAGGTAATCAGCAGTGCCAGCGACGGCTGATTCTCCAGCCTACTCGAAGGGGCGGTTCCATTGGTGTGTACCGTTGCGCTTTGAGACGTCTGCGGCCGGGCCAGTTTTGCGAACTGCTTCTAGTTGATACTCTGGATTTCTCGCACTTGCAGATGCGCTAACCCCATTAAACTCAAACTACCAAGAAACGATTCCGCACGGCGAAGACATTTTTTTCAATTCCAGCATGCGGGTGGCAATCAATTGAGCGCCCTTCAATCCGCCAGAAAGATCCAACTCAATGACGTATCTACTTGTCTCCCTCCTCATGCTCGCCCAGCCTGCGGCTGGCTCTGACACTTGGCCGGGCTTCTTGGGGGGCGGGGCGAATTGCACTTCGGCGGAAGACCTTCCCTTGCACTGGTCTCCTGAGGAGGGAATCGCTTGGGAGGTCGACATCCCCGGCTACGGGCAATCTTCACCGGTTGTTTGGGGCAACCGGGTGTTCGTCACATCGACCGAAGGTGAGAACAAAGAGCGTTGTCTGGTCCACGCCTTCGATCTGAATACAGGCAACAAGCTCTGGACGCAGGAATTCGAAGCGAGCCAGAAGATCCAGTTCAGTTCCACCGTCAGCAAGGCGGCGCCGACTCCGGTGGTTGATGCCATCGGACTGTATGTCTTCTTTGAAAGCGGTGATGTCGCTGGGTTCACGCACGACGGAAAGCCGCTCTGGAACCGGTCACTTGTCGAAGAGTACGGCGAGTTTCAAAGCGGCCACGGCATTGGTAGCTCGCTGGCGCAGACCAAAGACGACATCATCGTGCTTGTCGCCCACTACGGACCCTCGTATTTGCTGGCCATCGACAAGTCCAGCGGAGAGACCACTTGGAAGACCGACCGCGAAAGTGCGGTCTCGTGGACCTCGCCTATTGTGACAACACTCAACGGCCGATCTCAGGTGATCGTCAGTTCCAGTGGTTCGGTCCAGGCGTACGATGCCGCTGATGGGAGTTCGCTGTGGTCCCTGGAAGGCATCAGCGGAAACACAGTCCCCTCAGCATCTCTGGCGGGAGAACGCATTCTCATTGGTGCCCGCAATGGTCCCCGCAAAGGCAATGCCGCGCCGGCAGCCCAATCGAACTGCTGCCTGCAGCTTATCGAGAAAGATGGTCAACCTAGCTACGAAGTGGTGTGGAAAGCAGAGAAGGCAACCTCGTCCTACGCCACCCCCTTAGCTCATCGCGGGTGTGCTTACTTCATTAACAGCGCCGGCGTGGTGTTCTGCCTCGACATGGATACCGGCGAACAGCACTACGCCAAGCGAATCGATGGCGTCTGCTGGGCCTCGCCGCTGGGGGCCGGCGACTATATCTACTTCTGCACCAAAGAAGGCATCACAACCATCATCAAAGCAGGGCCCAAGTTCGAGAAGGTCGCCAGCAACCGCCTGTGGGGCGAAGCGCAAGCAACAGAGGGTGCCGATGAGCCTTCCGAAGCCGATAAATCAGAGACCGTTGTCTACGGAGTGGCAGCCGTCAACACAGGACTGATCATTCGCACCGGCAATAAACTGTACTGCGTTGGAGGTTCACCCTCGCTGGCACGAGCTCCGTGATTTCTTTCGTAGCTCACACTTCATAGCGATTAACCGCTTGCTGCGCTATTCCTGGAATTACAGCAGTCCCTTCGGACAACTCCTACGCCATCCTTACTTGCTTAGGCTAGATGACGGCGGCTTTCTATCGCAACCATCCACGGGCACTGATGAATCGCCTTGTAAGGAGTTTCACCCCACTTGCAATAGTTACCAGTACACATTGCAAATTGACTGACTCAAAGAACTGAGCAACGAACTCGAAGCAGGTCGAGTTGTCGAAAGACTTTTCCCAACCCGCAGAGTTTCACGGCAGTTTTGTTAACTCTTGGCGGTTGTTCATGTCCTGCCGCGCGGCACTTCGTCTCCATGCCTAATTCCATGGGTCGAACCGGACACTTGGCACGCCGGTTGCCCTCACTCCCTTGCAGAGCTGCCCATGGATTGGGCGGCCTCATTAAGACAGGGGCGGCCTTCTCTCACGAAAGGCCTCACGGAGGATTATCCCATGGACGGAACTCTTCTGCTTGCAGGAGGGGCGGCGGTTCTCTCGGCAATGGGTGCCATCGAATCGCGCTGGCATCGCCGGCGACTCAATAAAATCCCCTACCGCATTCACGTTAACGGTACTCGCGGCAAGTCGAGCGTCACTCGGCTCATCGCCGCAGGACTTCGCTCTGCCGGAATTCGCACCTGTGCCAAAACCACCGGCACCACGCCGCGGATGATTTTCCCCGACGGCAGCGAATACCCCATTCACCGGCCTTCGCGTTCGAACATCATCGAACAACTCCGCGTGGTGAAAGCCGCCGCGGCGGTGGGTGCCGAAGCACTGGTGATCGAATGCATGGCGCTTCACCCTCACTTGCAGTCGGTTTGCGAACTGAAAATCGTGCAGTCGACCCACGGTGTGGTGACCAACGCTCGACCCGACCATCTCGACGTGATGGGCCCCACGGCTCGTCATGTTGCCGAAGCCCTCGCCGGAACGGTTCCTGTCGGCGGGAAGCTCTACACAGCCGAACAATCGTACTTACCCGTGTTCGCCGAGGCGGCACGCGATCGTGGCTCGTCGATTACCTCGATCGACGACGAACAGGTTGCCGGGGTGACGTGGGACGAACTCAACGGGTTCGCCCACATCGAGCATCCTGACAACGTCGCGTTGGCCCTCTCGGTTTGTCGCGACTTGGGGGTGGACCGCCAGACCGCCCTGGCCGGTATGTGGGCGGCCACCCCCGACGTCGGAGTGCTGCGGATGTACTCCATGAACCAAAGCGGCAAGAACCTAACCTTCGTCAACGGGTTCGCGGCCAACGATCCGGAATCGACCGGGCACAACTGGAACCTAGTGGTCGATCGCTTCAATGGCTTCGACCAACGCGTAGCCCTGTTCAACTGCAGGGCCGACCGCACCGACCGCTCGATCCAACTGGCCGACGCTTGTCTTCGCTGGCAACCGGCCGACCGTTATGTCTTGGTCGGTTCGGCCACCGATGTCTTCGCCCGACGGGCTCTATCCAACGGGCTGCGTCCCGAGCGTTTGATCAATGCCGAAAAAATGCCTCCCCAACGGGTCATCGAGTCGATCGATCAACAAACTCGTAACTCGACCATGGTGATGGGCATGGGCAACATCGCGGGGCCCGGTATGCAAATCATCGATTACTTCCAGCAACGCGGCACCCATGGCCGTCCGAGTGCTTCGATGGTCAACCAATTCACCTATCAGGAGGCCGCATAATGGATTCGCTTACTGTTGCCATCGGGCTAGGGCTGGTGGTCAGCCTGTTGTTTACCGAAGCCTTCGGGCTGGCCGCCGGCGGGATGATCGTACCTGGCTACTTCGCTCTCCAGTTCGGGCGTCCCCTAGACATTGTGCTAACGTTGCTGGTTGCAGCACTAACCTACCTCGCCGTGTTCGGAATTTCGAAGGTTGCCATCGTCTACGGACGACGGCGGATCGTGCTGATGCTGTTGATGGGTTTCATCCTCAGCCAAACCGTGAGGGTCATGATCGGCGAGGTGCCGGCCTTCAACTCTCCCACAGGAAGCTGCATTGCCGTCATCGGGTATCTCGTGCCGGGGCTAATCGCCTTGTGGTTCGACCGACAAGGTCTGCTCGAAACCTTGGGCACAGTGCTGACCGCCTCGGCGGTGGTCCGCTTATGTTTGATCGTTCTGGCGGTGGAGGTGCTCGCATGAAACGCGTTTACTGGAGACCGAATCGAATTTCGAAGGCGGGCATCCTAGCAATTGGCCTGCTGGCCGTGGGGGGCACACTCGCCATCGAGTGGTTCCCCATCTCGAGGAACACCACCCAGCGAGATCAGAAACTGGCCGCCGCTCAACTCGCCCAGCAGAGCATGCAAACCATCCGAGAAGCGAGGCTTAATCGCGGACATCAAATCGATACCCGATTCGACCCCACCAGCTCCGGCATGATCGGCGAAGCGATGTCGCCGGTTACCAGTTTGCCTTCGCACCTGGAAGCGAAGCAGACCAGCGTGAACCCCAATTTCGCGGCGGCCGTGGTCGACATGCTGACCGACGCCGGCGTAAAGTCGGGCGACGTGGTGGCCGTCGGCTACACCGGCTCTTTCCCGGCCTTCAACACCTGTGTTTGTGCGGCCATGGAAACCTTGGGAGTCGAGCCACTGGTGATCCACAGCGCGGCCTCCTCACAGTTCGGCGCGAATTGTCCCGACATGATGTGGCTCGATATGGAAGCCGCGTTGCACGAGGCCGGGCTGATCTCGTTCCGCTCACAGGCCGCAACCCTGGGCGGGTTCGGCGACCGTGCCCGTGGGATGTCCGATGAATCGAAGACGATGTTGCAAGACGCCATCACCCGCAATGATGTCGCATTGCTGGAGATTTCTTCGCTGCAAGATTCTATCGATCAACGCATGGAGATCTACACCAAGTTGGCCAACTCTCGACCAATCGCTGCCTACATCAACGTCGGCGGAGGTGCCGCCTCGATTCATGGCTCGAAAGGCCGGGAGGCGTTCGGGGCAGGGCTTAGCGAAGAATACACAGGCGACAACTCCGAGGTCGATTGTGTCGCCAGCCGCTTCGCCAACAGCAGTGTTCCCGTCATCCATGTCGGCAACGCCGTGCAACTCGCCGCGCACTTCGGGCTCCCCGTCGCCCCCCAACAAACACCCCAACTCGGCGTCGGCAGCGTTTATGCAAACGCCAACGCCACAAGATTACTGGCCGGAATCTTATTGGCCATCATCGCCGTCTGCATGCGAACCTACCTCTGGAGCGATCTCTGGGTCCGGCTCTCCACCCGCGTGAAATCCCTGAGAAAGCGCTCCGCCACCCACCCTCAGCCTCTCCGCATCGCCACCCCCAGCCACGCCGAACTAATGGTGTAGAAAAGGAGCACACACGATGACCGCTCGAGGGCTTCCCCTACCTGAGACATGACCTTTACATCTCCACAGGCCCTATAACCGTTCGTTGCTGAATTCTTTCACTCCGTTTTGAACAGGAGAATTGAATTACATCGATCATTGATTCATGATAGATGCTCCACTCCTCCAGCGGCTCTTCGCCGCGGTAATCTTCTGGTGACTGGAGCAGGACAGCACCATGCTTTCACGATCGAGCCTTCTGACCCAGGGCGCATGGATTTCGCCCCTGGCTTTCTGCCTCACCTTTCTTCTCATTGGGCCCGCTCCGTCCACATTTGCCGCCCCGCAATCGGTCGGAGAATCGCAAGAACAGCGGAACCTCTTCATCAAGCGCAACGAGCTATACAAACGGGCTCAAGCAGCGGTTGATAGTGAGAATTACAAGGAAGCACGAGAACTCCTGAACCAAACGCTCGAGATCACCCGACAGATCCGCCCTGCAGGGCACAACGACATCATTCACCTACTCGAATCGCTGGCGCTGGCCTATGTGAAGTTAGACGACATGCCGGCCGCCATTACGACCTGCCGTGAGATAGTCGACATCAAAAAGAAGGACCTCAAAGAAGGTTCATGGCAGTATTTCGATCTCTTATGGACCGTGCGGCACATGGAGATCATGGCTTCGCTAACCCCCGAACAGCGCGATGAACTCTTTCGAGCTGAACAGCTCGCCCAGGAAGCCCGAAATGCCCTGGCAAGGGGCGACTCGGCAACCGGCGAAAAGAGAATGCTGGAGATCCTGGAGATTCGCAAGTCGATCATCACGGTCCCTCACCCATTAATCTTCACCGCATTGACCGACCTGGGAAGTTTCTATTTGGAACGCGGTGAAACCGAAAAGGCCACCGAGCGATTCCGAGAAGCAGTCGCACTCGGCGAAGCTCACTACAACAAAGAACAATGTCCCGATGGGCATGTTCACCTTGCCACCGCATATGTGTTCTTAGGTCGCGCCCTGGCTGCTCAGGGAAATCTGGCTAAAGGACGAGAGTTGCTCGAATACGCGCTAAAGATGCGAGAAAAGCTCTTCCCAAGAGATGAGTTCCCCAATGGCCACCTGCACATGGCAACCAATCTGGGAGCACTGTCAGGCGTCGCCGAGGAACAAGGAGACCTCGCCGCGGCAAGAACCTACCTCGAACGTTCGGCCGACGCCTACATTCAGCTTTACCCGGAGGACGAGTATCCAGATAGTCACGAATTTGTTATTTCGGCACTAAACTCGATCGGGACCTTTCTCACCAACCACGGAGAGACCGAAGCTGCAAAGCCGTATTATGAGCGAGCCCTTGAGTTGAGTGAAAAGCTCTTCACCAGAATAAAATTCCCCCAGGGTCACGTTCACTATGCCGATGCTCTGTTCGGGCTGGCAAGAATTCTTTACGAGAAAAACAATTTCGTGGAGGTGGAGCCGCTGCTGAGACAGGCCGTGCCTATGTACCTAAACCATTCGCCACAAGGGAGCAGAAACCTGTTCCTAGCTCTCGATTACTTAGCAAATTCTCTTTTTGAGCAGTCGCGGTATCAAGAAGCTGGGAAATACTTCGAAAATGCCATGGCCGTTGCCGAGCGGATATATCCGGAAACTCAATTTCCTCAAGGCCATCCGAACAAGATCCAAGTTCTGCGTCGACTTGCAGACGTTCAATCGCAGTTGGGCAACCAGGCTGCGGCAAACCAATTCATCGAACGCGCTTCAGCCATGACAAATCAGCTGTACCCAGAAGAGGAGTTTCCTGGGGGACACCTCGAGATGGCAAATATTTCCACCGATCAAGCATTGCAGTTAATGGATAGCGAACCCGAGAAAGCCAAGCAACTCCTCGAGCAGTCCTTGGCCATCCTCGAAAAAAACTATCCCCGAGAAGAGTTTCCAGACGGGCACCACCAAGTTGCAGCCGCCTATTTCTACCTGGCCCTTGCCCATCAGACACTTGGCGATGACGAGGGCACTTTAGCTTACAGTCGTCGGGCCGAGGCCATGCTAGAAAAGCTCTACCCTGCGGACAAATTCCCCCAGGGAAATGCTCTCCTGGCCTCGGTTTATAGCAACATCGCTAGCGTCTTCAGCAGTCGGGAAGATCATGAAACTGCCCTCGACTATTACACCCGCGGGTACGAAATGCGCACGCGGCTCTACCCCCAGGAGATGTATCCCGATGGCCACTCCGAAACAGCCAAGAGCTTGAGCAACCTCGGCCGCGAATACGAATTCCAAGAAAATTACTCCGAAGCGACCGCATACTTCAAACAGGCCCTCACAGCCTGGGACAATCTCTACCCAATCGAGCAATATCCCAAGGGAAACGAACGCCTGGCCCTGGCTCTGCGAGATATGGGCCGTGTCTTTCTCAAGACGAACGACTTGGTCTCGGCGCTGCCCTTCCTAAAACGGGGCTTGGTCATGTTCCAACGCCTATACCCCCAAAACGAGTACCCGCACGGCCATTACAATTTGGCAGAGAGCTTCAATCTGGTGGGAGAAACCCTCCGATTGCTCGGTCAGCAGGAAGAAGCCCGCGATCACTTTCAACAAGCCGTAGCGATACTCGATTCCCTGCACCCCGAGGGAGGCTACTTATACGACGCACTAGTCATCAGAAACCTGGGCCTGAGCGAATTTCATCTCGGCAACCTGCCTGCGGCAGGCCAACACCTCGCAAGAGCGGCCCGCGTTTACGAAGCACAGCTTTCCCCAGACAAAAACCCTCATGGCAGCATCGATTTGGCGGACTGCCTGTTCGACCTTGGGCTGCTTCGCGAGCGAGAAGGCAACTTGTCGGAAGCCCTGGTAGTAATCGATCGCGCAACTGCCATGTACGACGCCTTGCTTTCTGAACCAACCGTCACCCAAGCCGGAACACTTTTGGCACTCATCAGAGTTTCGACCGCACTGGGGGATATTAGCCAAACCGAGGAACGACTAGCAAAAGTCGATGCAATGCTGGAAGCCTTATTCCCCTCAGAGGAGTTCCCACAGGGGCACGAAGAAATCGCCAAGCACATCGACCGCTGGGGAGAACTGTTTGCGAACCGAGGAGATCATGAAGCCGCCGAAGAACAGCATGCCCGGGCGCTGGACATGCGGCAAGCACTATATCCCGCGGAGGAATTCCCCAAGGGCCACGACGAACTGGTCACTAGTTTCCTCCACCTGGGTACCGCACTGCATAAGCAAGGCAATTTTGCGGAATCCATAGATTACTTTCAACAAATTGTCGACATGCACGAACAACTCTACCCGTTGGCCACCCACCCCCGGGGCCGATTGAATCGGGTACTCGACTTGGTCCGCCTGGGCGACGCCTATCAAGCCGCAGAGGAGTTTGCGGCCGCAGAAGATTGCTACCAGCAAGGGCTCGCTCTTTACGAGGAGTTTTACACCCCCGCTCGATACCCCGACAGCCATCCCGATGTTGCCACCGCGTACAATCGGATGGGTGACGTTCTCCTCTGGCAGGGAAAGTACAAAGAGGCCCTGGGTTACTACGAACGCTCGGTAAACCTGTGGGAATTCTTTTGTTCGCCTGAGCGTTATCCCAAAGGCCATCCCTATTTGGCCATCACCTACAGTCGTATGGGATATTTGTTGCATGCCCTTGGTCAAGCCGAACGTGCCGAGGGCTATTACCAGCAAGCGCAGGCGATGCTTGAGACCATTTATTCGCGCGAGCAGTATCCCGGTGGGCACGCCTACTGGGCCGAAGCCGCTAACAGTCTGGGCCACTGGCATCAATCTCAAGCACATCTGGAAGAAGCCCGCCGTTACTATGCAAGCGCATTGAAAATCTACGAAGGCTTGGCCCATGGAACATACGGAAATGCAAACCATGCCTGCACGCTGAACAATCTCGTGCACCTTCATTTTGCGGCCGGCGATTACCCCAGCGCTCAACAGTATGCCCAGGAATCGTTTGCCATTTATCAACGGCTCTATCCGCCAGAACGATTACCCCAGGGGCACCACGCGCTCGCACTCTGCTCACGAAACCTGGCCGAGTTAGAAATTGCCGCCGGAGACCCGAAGGCAGGCTACGCGCAGCTCGTTGATGCCTTTTGGACGCAATTCGGTCTGTCACAAGACGTAATTACTTCCACTCCAGATCCCACGATTCGATCTCGCACGCAATCGCTGCGTGGTCCGCACGATGCACTGCTCACGCTCTGCTGGATCTACCGAAATGATGTCCCCACGGCCACCGCCGATGCCTTACAAGCCGTGGTGGCTCACAAAACAATCGTCGCAGATACGGCCCGACGCCTAGGTGTGAGAGATGGCCTTAAGCAAAACGACCCCCAGTTTGCAGAAACCCTGCGTCACTTCAGGCCTTTGGATAGGCAACTTCTCGCCCGTGCTACTCCCGTTACCGACGAGTCGGAAGAAGATCTCTTCGCCCGCCTACAAACGGTGGCCGACGAAAGAAACCAGCTTCACGAGCAGCTAACCGCCCAAGTAGACGCAGCAGCCGGAGCATCGCCACCCCTGAAGCTCGATCTCTCGGAACTCAGACAACGGCTGCCTCAGAACTCCGCTGTTGTCGAGTTCGTGCGAATGACGCCCTACGTGTTCAAGGCCCATAAGAATCAGCCCGCCTGGCGAACGCCGCGCTACGTGGCTTTAGTGCTCACTTCTGAGTCTGAGACGCCCCAACTCGTCGACCTGGGACCGGCCCAGCCGCTTGAAGATGCCATTGCCGCCGTGACTAAGCATCTTCAAGATGCCTCCACAGGGTCGAGCGACGCCGACGAAGCTACCCTGGAGGCCGATTACCGCGAACTAGCTTCCACACTACAAACGCTGGTGTTTGCCCCACTCGTTTCAACTCTGGGCGAGGCGAAGTTGGTCTTCATCGCTCCCCACCAAGATCTCAACCGCATCAACTTCGAGGCCTTGGTCGACGAGCAGGGGCAATACCTCATCGAAAACTACGATTTTGCTTACTTATCCAGTAGCCGCGATCTGCTGCGTCAACCGGAGGAAGCTGCCACCGGAACCGTCGTCTTCTCCGCACCCAAGTTTGGCTTTGGCCAAGACTTGGCCTCAGCGGGGGCCAGATCAATCGCCGGCGGGGCTGCTGCCGTTTCTCCACAACCGGAAGCTAGTCCCGATACGCTGGATGCGATCCCATTGCAGTGGAGTTCAACAGCAACCAGGCTCGATGAAGTCGCCGTGCTAGAGCAGACCATCAAGAGTAATGCCGAGTCGATCCCGGTCGTCGAACTCATTAACCAAGACGCAACCGAAGAAGCCTTCACCGCACTCGAGCCAAGCGGCGTCATTCATATCTCGGCCCCAGCCTTTCAACCTGCCGAACCCGACACGACGCTCGACGAACAACCCTTCATCGATTGGGACCAGGGCGACATCTTCCTGCCCAACGACCCGACTGACCGGAAACTCCCTCCAACGATTGCAGCCCGAATTTCACCATCTCGCCAAACGGTCGCTCCGCTCTACAGCTCGGGAATCGGCCTGGCCGGTGCCGATCGAGCCACCCTCGCCAACGATCCGCAACCGCCTTCAACAAACGACGGCCTGCTAACTGCAGATGAAATCAGTACGGCACATCTTCGCAAGACAAAACTAGTGACGCTCCACCTTTGGGACAACGCCCCCACGGCAACAACGTCGAACACTGCAATCGAATCATTACGCTACGCATTTCTCCAGGCAGGTTCGCGAGCCTTCGTCACAAATACCCTCGCGATGCCCGACGATGTAACCCAAGAATTTCTGACTGAGTTCTACTCACACATCTCCGCAGGCACCTCACCTCAACAGGCTTTGAGAGAGGCAAAACTCTCACTTCTTTCCCAACGACGCGACGCATCACAGGCTGCCCATCCCATGCATTGGGCCGGCTTTATTCTTTCAGGGCAGGGCAGGGCAGATAGCCTCGGGTCTTGATGCATCTCACCAACAGCAGCCCCCACCATCAGGCAGGGGGGTGAGAATCTACACAAGCGGTATCTCGACTCAGTCGCCCCCCTGAGTGATAATCGAAGAACGGAACTTAGTTGAATTATCACGCATCACAGGGCTCCAGGCGGGTGGCCACTGTTTCGTGCAACGCTGTCGAATAGGTATTGCTTGTGTACATCTTGTTCGCCGCCGACACTGAAGCCTTCTTCGCAAGTCACTGGCCCTTCGTGGTGGGGGTGGGGCTGCTCTTCCTGAGCGTGCAACTAATCGTCTGCGCCCGCTTCTTCCACCAGGTTCGTGGGTACGAACGACTCCTCAGTCGGCTCACTCGCGACTACGAATCCGGCGGCACCGGTCGCGGCAAAGACGAGCGCGACGTACGCAACTTCCCCTGGCTCGGCTGGGTCAACCGGAACTTTCCCGCCAAGTCAACCACCCCGGGCAACTTCACCCGCGACGAAGTGCTGCACGAACTCGACTCTCGAGTGGCTGGCAGCGGCGATTACCTCCTACTGCAACGGATGGGTGTCGCCGCACCATTGCTGGGCGTGCTGCTCACCGTGCTGGGGTTCATTTGGGTCAACCCACCGGAAGATCAAGAGATTTCCATCGGGCAGATGTTCCAACAGGTGTACCCCTTGGTTGCCGGTGTCGGCACCGGGGCCGCGTTGGCCTTCATCAATCAAGGCCTCCTGCACCTCGCAGGGTGGAAGGCCGAACACCTGCGCGTCATCGCCCGAAACTGGTTCGACACCGTGATCTGGAGCAACGTGGGTCTCGACACGCAAGCGGCCACCGTGAAAGCCATCGGGGCGATGGACCGCATGTCGGCAACCCTCGCCTTGTCGGCCGAGAAACAACTGAAGAACGCCGCCCGGCTCGAGAAAAGTGCCGCCGCCATGCAGGCCGCAACGGCCAGCTTCCGCGAAATGGTCCAAGCCATGGGCAGCGAAATGCACGGCCTGCCCGAGACCCTGGCCGGACTGCAGAAAGCCACCGCTGCTTCGGCCGAAGCCCTCGACAAGCTCCTTCCCATGAGCCGTCGGGCCGTGGCAGGTCTCGATGTCTCCGTGGCCGCGTTCCGCAGCGCGGTCGAGCAAGACTTCGTAGAAGCCGCCCGCAAGCATCATACGTCAATCGAAAGCCTCACCGAATCGGTCAACGCCACCACGGCGGGCAGTCACGAAATGCTCAGCGCAGCCGCCGAACGCTTCCAGACCACCGCTCACGCCATCAACGCAGCGGCCGACGCGTTGACCTACCGCATGAACGAACAGGGCAATCTCTCAACCGAAATCGTTGCGACGCAACAGACATTACGCGACGCAGTCTCCCAACTGACCGATGCCAGCAATCACTTCCGCTACACGCTCGACTCAACGGTCACTCCCACGCAACAACAGATGGGCACGGCGGCCTCTTCGTTCGCAGCTTCGGCCGAACAACTTTCAACGTTCATCCAACAAGGGCTCGAACCGGCCACCGCGCGACTGGCCGAGTTGCACACCACGCTCGGCGAGCTGCAAAACACGGTTCGCAGAATCCAAGAATTGAACGGCAGCGAAGGCGAACTCAGCCGGCTGTCTGAGTCGTTAAAGCAGGCCTCGTCCGCCGCCGAAACCATGGGCGAGCTGCCCGGCCAGCTTCGCGAAGTGATGGCGGCTTACGCGGCCGACCATGCGGAAGAAAACCCCGGCCGAGGGTTACTCGCCGGCCTCTTCCGCTCGAAACCCACCAACCACGCCGTCGCCCCCCAACAAGAAATCGGACCTTCCAGCGAAGGATAGAACCATGCGACTTGAACGAGCCAGTGGTGGCTCGGGCGAGGCCGGCCTGGCGGGCTGGATCTCTACCAACGACGTCACCCTGTTCACGATGGTCCTCGTCGTGCTCATCGCCCTGGCCCTGCACAGCAGCCTGGTGAAGAAGCGTAAGAGCAACGAAGCCTTGGCGATGGATCTCTCCAGCACCGCCGCGGAACTCGACAACACCATCCGCAAACACGATACGCTGGACGAAGAACTCCGCAAACGCCGGGCCGAACTGGCAGCGCAGGGCGAGTCGCTCGAGCAAACCGAAGAACTGCTCCAGATCACCCAACGCGAGAAAGATCAGCTCAACGAAGATCTCACGGCCACACAAGAGCTGATCACCTCACTGCAATCCAGTCTTGAAGGCCTGCAAACTGAAAACACCAACCTCGAAAGCACCAATGCCGACTACGAGCAACAACTGCAAACCCTCGAGGAACAAAAGACCGAGCTGGCCACCGAACGCGAGTCACTCAACGAGCAATTGGCCGGCCTAGGCAAGCAACTGCAGCAAAAACTCGACGCCCTCCGCGATGTCGAAGAACAACGCTCGCAACTCAGGCAGCAGGTCGAGGAATTGGATGGCATCGTTACCGCACTACGAGCCAAAGTCGACACCACCACAGCCGACCTGGCCGCCACCCGCGAGCAAGCCACCCAGCAAGGCGAACAAGCTGCCGCCCGCATTGCCGAGTTGGAAGGCATGGCGGAAGCAAAGGGAACTGAAGTCGAAGACTACCTCGCCAAGCTTCGCCGTGCGACCGAAGCCATCGAGTCGTTGAAGCTCGAAAAGCAGGAGACCGAAGAGCAACTCACCGCCACCGAACTGCGATACCAACAGCAGCTTCTGATGGAAACCACCGTGAATCGCGAGCTGGTCGGCATCAAAGGCTCGCTCAAGAAGGTGGCCATTATCTTCGACGCCTCGGGCAGCATGAAAGAAGAAACCACGCAGGGCACCGGCGACCGCTGGAGCGAAGCTCAGCAGATCGCCCAAACCTGGCTGCAACACCTCGATGTCGACGAGTGCGTGCTCATCGTCTTCTCGTCCGACGTGCGAACCTTCCCAGAGGATGGGTCCTTCGCCAACCTAACCGGCGAGACGGAGGAAGAAGTCCGCAAGAACTTGCTCGACAAGCTCGCCCAAGTCGAACCCGATGGCTGGACCAACACCCTGGGAGCCCTACGCAAGGCCTACACCTACGAGAGCCTCGACTCGATCATCCTTTTTTCCGACGGTGCCCCCACGAACCCCAATCTGGGAACGTTCGATGCGGAAGTTGCCCGCTCGATCTACACCCTCTGCAGCGAACACGCAGACATCCCCATCAATACTGTTGGGCTGGGTAACTATTTCGACCCCGACCTGGCCACATTCCTCCGCACCGTCGCCCGACTCACGGGTGGAACCTTCCGCGGCCGGTAGAACACCGCTGGCTGTGGTTCATTCCTTGCTGGGTGGCGAGTTCGAGATCGTATCTAAGTCCTCCAACCGCACTTTCAGCACCTCGACCGTTTGCTTCCCTCCGGCGAAGGCAATCAGCAACTCATCGCCGTGTTGCATGACAAATGGATAGTCCACCCGCCGACCTCCAACGAGGTAGCCAAGTTTGGTGAAGACCATCCCGTCATCACTTAAGGCCAGCGTGAGCGGATCACGCTGCTTGGGATTCGAGTTCGACACCAACACGTAGCGACCGTCTTCCAACTGCAGGCCGTGCAGCTTCGAAGTGGCATCAGGGAAATTCGTCTTCACTGGCGTGCTCCACGTGCGGCCATCGTCGCTGGAAAACGAACGGTAGAGATACCCGCTGCGGCGGTTATCGCGAAATAACGCCATCAGGTTCTTATCGGGCAACATCCACCACAGCGGTTCTTCGGCCGCCAATTCACGGCTCGAGCCCAACACCGGAAAAGACTCCCATTGGTCAAGTTCATCAACCCCACCCACCAGAAACTGCACGCCAGTCTTCTTATAGTCATACGGCCGCCGCGACATCATCCACTGCCCGCTGGGGATCTTCTTCGGCGGGAAGTTGTTAATCGCGTTGTCGGCAATCACGCCCAGGTCTTCCCATCGCTTCATATCCGCATCGAAGCGGAAGGCGTGGAGTTCCAAACTCTTGCCAAAGAATCCGGCCGCTTCATCGAGTGAAGCCAACGCCAACAGCTCATCGCCACGCACCCAGAATCCGCGGGAAATCCAGCGATAGCCTTTCTCGCTTCGCGTGCCGTAGAGTTCGGAGTCGGGCCCCGAGTTCGGCGGCACGGGGGTCATGTACGCAGGCTCGCTCCAACTCAATCCGTCGGGGCTGGTGGCATACTTCACACGTTGCCCCACCTGATCCTCCACACCCGGGCCATCACTCCACATGGCCCAAAACTTACCGTCGTGGTGTACAAGGTAATTGTGCTGATTCACACCATCCACATCTCGCACGTCGCTAACGATGACGTGCTCGCTCGGCACTTCCGGCAGTGCCCCGAAGTCGATCGTATGCGGATCCTCCGGCACCCAATCACCGGCCAACATCAACGGCGACTTGGGATTCTTCACAGGATGAGGACCTGCCACCGCTTCCTTTTCATGCCGTAAGACCTGCCCCTGAGCAACGAGTGTCTCTTGCAGCGTATCGATGGGAACATCCCGCGGCGCAACGCTATTTTCAATCGCCAGGTCCGCAGCCACACCTGCCGCCTGCCCTAAGGCCATCCAGGTTGGTTCCATGCGAATGGAAGAAAACGCCACGTGCGTGGTCGATGCGGCCACCGGCACGATCAGTCCGTCAACCGTTTTGGGAATCATAATGCGGTAAGGAATCTCATACGGTCGGGTGATGTGGTCGAGCATGCCCAAGTAACCTTCAAGGACCACCGTGTCGCCAGCCTGTCGCTTGCGGCAGGGAAAGCTATCGATGGGAAACTCACCAACCGCAATCGCATCAGGATAACGCCGCGGTGTGTTGCTCTCTCCTCTCGTGATATCCTGCTCGGTCAGTGTGTATTCCCCCACCAAACGTCGCCCCTCGCGAACATAAAGCTGAAATGGGAAGTTCCCGTTGTCTCCAAACTCGCCCTTGGGCAGATGCAGCCCAGCGGCAAGCTTACGATGTTCCGCAGGCACTTCCGCATCGTTCTGCAAGAACCACAACAGCCCCAACGTAAGATTGCGATGCCGCTGCCGAATCCGCTCCCGCTCAGCATCGTTCCCTTCGATGTAGCCCACGTTCTCTTCTGGAAACGGGAACGCCAGAGGGCGGGGGTTGATGTTCACGTCGGTCTTGTTGTTGGGTAGCTCCGTGACAGACAACGCCCGCACAAGCGTGTCGAAGTGGGCAGGATTGTATCCCCGTCCCGGCTTGTAACTCTTCGGCGCCGCCAGCCGACCGGCGGCCAGATCATCGAAGTAGCCCACGTAGTTCTCGCGGTTGTATCCCTCAGGCGGGCTCGTCAGCGGAACCGCGTTCTCAGCGTCGGTCGATAAACACAACCGGTACGTGTAGGCCGGCAGGTGATCGTCAGCTTCCCCCGTGGTGCGGGGAAGAAACTCCTTGGCCTGGTAGTCGAAATAGATGTATCCAGCATGCGGCTCATCGAAAGCATCGCGCGATTCGCGGCCCAAGCGATACTCGGCCCCGGCCAATGCGAACAGATCGCCCTCGTAAGTCGCATCGATGAAAACCTGCCCCTCGATCTTCCGACTCTCGCCCGAGTTCCTCTCGACAAGTTCCACGGCCGCCACACGACCGTCGTGCTTCTCGACGCCATCCAGCCGCCATCCCTTCAAAACAGCGACTTCCGGCAGTTCGCTAAGCATTGCCTCGAAGACCGCCTCGGCCACCGAAGGCTCGAAGTAATAGCCGTCCCGGCACAATGCGACATTCGGATGCTCCGCACCGTAGGTGTTTACGTAATGGCGATTCACCCGGGTGGTAAATTCCTTGAAGAGCCCACCAATCATGGCGCGGTTCTCAATGTCGCTCTTACCCAGCCCGCTGGCCATCATCCCGCCAACGTGGGGACTGTACTCCACCAGAACGACCGAGCGCCCGGCCCGACCAACCGCCACCGCCGCAGCGACGCCCCCAGGGGTGGCCCCGACCACGACAACTTCAGTCTCTGCAGCCAACAAGTAAGGTGAGAAATTCGGTGAAATCACCCATGACAAGAAAATCAGGGTGCCGGTGAGAACTGAGCATCTGTGCATTTGCAGCCACAATCCTAATATGAATTTCAAGGGACGAATCAGGCCTACTTTATCAAGCACTGCATTGCGCTTCGAGCAAGATGCTTAGACAGTAGTGATCGGAACCATCTCGCGAACACTATCGCAAGTTCTACGTACATTTGAATTGGACCCAGGTGCACTCAGTTGCACGCCCCCCAAAATAAGGAGCACTCAACAGGCCATCGCCAGCTCAGCTAGCCAAATTCAGAGTTACCAGGAGGAGATTCACTGACGCATCAACACACTCCGTGGTCTGTGGGCAATCGATTTGGCGAACTAACGACGCCCATAGTACCTCCCATTCACCCTAAAGCCCCCAAACAGTCTTTGGAACAAGGTTTGCTCTAGCCACTGCAGAGAAATTTTGCCTGCCACATCAATCACCTCCCTAGACAGGTGTGACTTGGCAGAGACAGGAACTTGGAGCGACGGATGATGAATTCAAACGAACTCTCGAAAAGTAGCGAGTTTGAATCACCGCGATCAGAAAAACCAGAGTCGGCCTCCCCGAATCACGTCGTCGGCGTCGGAGCTTCGGCCGGTGGGCTGGAGTCGCTGGAGAAGCTGTTCACCAACATGCCCTACGACACGGGCATGGCCTTCGTGGTAATTCAGCACCTCTCCCCCGATTTCAAAAGCCTGATGGATGAGTTGTTGGCCCGTTACACCAACCTTCCCATACATCGTGCTGAAGAAGGGATGCTGGTCGAGCCGAATGCGGTTTATCTCATCCCACCGAAGAAGGAGATGATCGTCGCCAACGGTCGTTTACTGCTGACCGACAAAGACCCCAAGCAGCCGTTGACGATGCCGATCGACATTTTCCTTAGATCGCTCGCCCAAGATTTCGGTGATCGCGCCATCGGCGTCATCCTTTCTGGCACCGGCAGCGACGGTTCGCGAGGCATTCGCGACATCCACCACGCCGGCGGACTGGTTCTCTGCGAATCGAAAGACACTGCGAAATTCGACGGAATGCCTCAAGCGGCAATCGAAACGGGTGTCGTCGATCACATTCTCGCGCCCGAAAACATCGCGGCCGAGTTGATGAACTATAAACTCAAGCTACCCTTCGGACCCACCGACTCGGAGAACCACTCTGCCCCTCCCGAAGCGATTGATTCCGTCTTTCAACTGCTTAACGATTCCAGCGGAATCGACTTTTCGCACTACAAGCCCAACACCGTTGGTCGTCGGATTCAGCGTCGCCTGTCGATGGTCGGGGCAAACACCCTGGACGAATACGCCGCGAAACTTCGCGAAGATCCCGACGAACTCAATTCTCTTTACAAAGATCTGCTGATTGGGGTTACGCGTTTCTTCCGCGATAGCGAAGCATTCGAGAAGCTCGAGACCGAAGTAATCCCCGAGATCATCGAGGGGGCAAAGAACGGAGAAGAGATTCGAATCTGGGTCGCAGGCTGCGCCACAGGTGAAGAGGCCTACTCCCTGGCGATGCTCTTGCACGAACAACTTGAGAAATCCAAGCAACCAGTTCACGTAAAAATCTTTGCCACCGACGTGCACCGTGCGTCCTTGGATATAGCTGGGGCCGGGGTTTATGGAGAAGAGTCTCTATCCAAAGTCGCGCCTGAACGTCTCAAACGTTACTTCGACAAAAAGTTAGACGGTTATCACATTGTCGCTGAACTGCGTCAGATGATCGTTTTTGCCACGCACAACGTCATCTGCGACGCTCCCTTCACCAAACTCGACTTGATCACATGTCGCAATCTGCTGATCTACTTCCAACCAGCAGCGCAACGCAAAGCACTCTCGCTGTTTCACTTCGGGCTAAAGACCGGCGGCTGGCTGTTCTTGGGCCCCAGCGAGAGCCCTGGCGAATTGAATGACGAACTCGACGTGGTTGATTCTCATTGGAAGCTGTTCCGCAAACGGCGAGACATCCGCCTGCCACGCGATCTTGAACTTCCGATGAGCAAGGGAATTCAGCCCGCCCACAAGTTCCCCCCGCCCGTTTCGCAAGCTGCGACAAACATGGCAGATACATTTCTGCTGGGTGCTTACGACACGTTACTCGAGAAGTACATGCCCCCAGGGCTGCTGATTAGTGAGAAGCGAGAGCTATTGCACTCATTCGGCGGTGCGGAGCAGTACCTGAAGCTCAAAAGCGGGCGTCCAACAACCGACGTGCTCGACATGTTCGATCGTGAACTTCGCACTGCCGTTACCGGCGC